GTTTTAGCATTTAACCCCAGTTAAATCGGATTGTTTTTTTAATTTTTTTAAGAGATTATCCCAATTTCATGACTTAGGTCATGGATCCTTCAATATTAGATTTGTTTTTATAGTATTGCCTCTCATCTCATGATTTAGGTTGCAGGTTGGGGGGTTTAACTTATTTGTTTTTTGTTTTTATTTTAATTTCATCATTTAATATTATGTTTGATTTGTTTTTAAGCTTTCTTTTATTTAGTTATCCTAGCCTAATGATACAAGAATAGTGTTTAATGGGTAAAACAAAGTTGATTTAACTTTTTTTTTATTAAAATTTTTACAAGTTTTATCGTTCAACACTAGGTCCATCAAGTTTGATTAGGAATTGAATTTCATAATTTATATTGATTTGCTTTCTAAAATTATCTCAGTTTCATAACTAGATTCAGAGGTTTAGTGGGTTAAATCATGTTTTTTTTTATAAGATTATCTTCATTTCATGACTTGAGTCATGAGTTTGCAAATTAACCTGAATCATTTTTAATGTTCCTTTTTGTATAAATATATATAAGGTTATGATAGTCTAATAACTTGAATCATAAATTTAACATATTAACTTGAGTTGACCTAAATCAATCTAATATGTTGTTATCTTAATATAAAAAACAATATGTCATATTGAATTTTTTTAAATCAAACTATATTTTTATAAGTTATTTGGGTTGTTTTTAAACTTGTAAACTCAATCAAATCATATTAGATTAATCCCTACATGATTTTTTTTTCATTAGAAAAAATTAAAACATTGGCAATATTTATATACTGTTTTAACATTCATGAAAAATTTAACTTAATTCGCAACATGTCGCAGTTTATAGTCCAGGTTCACCCCACTAGTTTTATTATGGACAACACTATTAATTTTTTTGTTTAAGAAAAAAATATTTTCTTCTTTTGTTTCTATTTTTTTAAAATTAATCTTATTTTTATTTTTATTTAAATTTAGATTAATATCTCTTCTCTCTTTTATGTTATTTAGAAAGCCAATTTTAAAATGACGATTATTTTTTAATTTTTGAGAAAGTTTTTCTGATTAATCTATATTTTTTAATCTTTTATATATATGAATTGTATTTTTTAAAATAAAAAATTATTTTTAAATAATATTTCTAATATGTACAACCTTACATATTATTTTTATTTTATTTTATTCAATCAATATATGTGTTTATTTTTACCATCATTATATTGAATAAAAAAATTATTTTAAGTAATAAATTTAGCAAACACAACTACGTAAATATCATATTTTACAAAATTAAATATTTTTTACACATGTCTCCTAATTTTTTCAGTTTTTATTTTCAGTCATTATTTATGATATTTTCACTAATTAATACAAATAATTTTTAATTTATTTGATTATATGTATATTATAAAAAAATTTATTTTTATTTAAAAAAATTTTAAATACAAAAACATGTTAATAAAGCTTATGTATAAATTTTTTTATTGAGAAAAAAAAAATATTTAACATGTGGTGAAATACGGGTCACGTACTATTTTGTGTTCATGATCCTAACTTCTCACAAATTTCACGATCGTTTATTTTCATCCATGTGCGGACTTTCCATCGAATTTTCCTGTTTTATTGCATAAAATGTGCAAATTAGAGGGGAAAGATTGAGGATCATAAAATATTGAGGAATTAATCTTCAATTGAGAAATACGTGATTTACTTGGGACTTAAATGATAAAATGTTATGATTTTAGATGGAGTAGAGAGTTTGTTAATTAGTGAGGGACCATATTGAGGTAAATCCAAAAACCTTAAGTTGAAAAAATTTGAGCTGCTCTTCTTCAGTTCTTCTAGCTACGAAAATGGAGAATAAGACGATACTAAGAGAATGGTTCGAGCGAGTTGACTCAGAGAAAACCGGAAACATCACTGCAAATCAGCTCAAGGTCTCTCTCTCTTTTCATCTTCCCCTTTTTTTTCCTTTTCTTTTAAAGGCTTGTTATAAATGATCAACTTAATTAATCATCTTATAATTATTAATTATAATGATGATCAGAGTGCTCTTGCTGTTGGTAACCTTGAATTCCCTCTCTCTGTTGTCCAACAAATGATCAGGTAATCCACTTCTCAACACTCTTCTTTAATCTCTCGATTAACACAAATCAATTGGTTTAACAAAATTCATTTATTTTTGTGGTGCAGGATGTATGATTCTGATAGGAATGGAACTATGAGTTTTGATGGTGAATTTCAATTTTTTGTGTTCAAGTCTTAGACTTTTGAAATGGGTTTTGTTTACTTTTTCCTGATTTGATCAAATTTTCTTTCTTCTTCTATATGCAGAATTTGTTGGGCTAAACAAATTTCTTTTAAAGGTTTGTGCTTGGATCATGAATTTTTCATTTCAAGAAGTAGAAAGCTATGCTTTTGTGTGTTATGCTCTTATCTAGTTAATGAAAAACTTCTGTGGTGCCTGTATTTGAATTTTGTACTTATTTGTTTTAGTCTCTTTGCAGGTTCAACAGGCATTCTCGGATCTCCATAGGTAAATTTAGTGCTTTTCTGATATGAATTAAAAATTGATTGTTCTGTTCCAGTTTTCCTGATTTGGTGCAGTGACATAGTAGAATTGTAGTCGTGTTTCTTCACTTTAAGTGGCTATATTACATGTATGTTTCTAGCAATATAAAAGCTTACAACTAAGAATAGATAGTATTTTTATCTTTGTTTCTACATTAATGCTGAATTCCTTTGGTAGAGGCTGAAACTGAATGCGCATTATTGTTCGGTTCTGTAGTTGTTTTAGTATGGTTGCTCAGCAGTTCTGGCCACCAGATAGTGTTATATTTGGTTGCTATCTGGTCATTGTTTGGTAACAAGATTTTTCAGATTCATGTACTTTTAGCAACTTTGAGCTTCTCCGGTTCCATAAAATCTGAGCTTCTGAAATTTTATGCTTGAGTCAATGCTTTATTTATCTGCAATGATGAGCAAATGCTTGAACACTTCTCCTCTTTCCTGTTTCTGTCTTCCAAAGTTGGAAATGGTTGGATTTGCTTGTGTAAAAATATCTAACTAGTCTTTACTCCTGTCTTCTTGTTACAGGGGCCGTGGATATCTTGTGCCTGATGATGTATATGAGGTAGTTTGTGAAAGAATATTTTTAGCTGTGACTGAGTCACTGTAGTTCTAAATGCTGCTGTCCTGTTGAAAATAAATTTCTATGTTTGTTAACAGTTTACCTCAGCGTGGTTTTCATGCTTCTGTTTAGATTGTTCTTGTTTCAAGAGATATTTGAAATAAAGAGCATGTGTTTCCTCGGACTCTATCCTCGTCTTTGTTTCTTAACTATCTGGTTTCTTAAGATAGAAATTTGTTTGCAGGGATTGGTGAAAATTGGTTTCTCACTGGACTCTCCTTCTTTTTACACAGTCTGTGAGGTAAGGCTATTTTCACTTATATTTGGGGTAAGATCATAAATTTCTGTCACGAAGATATACCGCATGCAACCTTTCTTCTTTAAAGATCTGGCTTGATGTTTGCATGCTTGTATACATATTTTATTATTAAATTCAACAAACTATTTGCCTGGTCCTTTGCGGTATAACACACACACACGCACACTTACAAATGTTTGAAACCCTGTCAATGGCTAAGATAATCCTACCTAGGCAACAGTCAAACTTATATGATATAGTTACTAATACCAAAATGTGAACTCTGCTTATTGTTGCTCAGAGCTTTGACCAAAAGAAGAACGGCAGAATTCGTCTTGATGACTTCATTTCTCTCTGCATCTTTGTACAGTCTGCTCGGTGTGTGTCCCCTCAGTTGTTTATGTTGCATGCTTTATATTGAATAGTCTAGATTAAGCTCTTACATGATAACTTCTCATTTCTTTTATTGCAGGAATCTTTTCAATTCATTTGATACAACAAAACAAGGCAGAGTTACTCTTGATTTCAATCAGTTTGTGTACTGTAGTAAGTAAAAACTAATTCAATTTGCACGTAACTACTTGATACCATGGTGCAATTTGTTAAAGTTAGTTTCTCTGTCTTGCAGCTGCGAATTGTAGAATATGAAATCACCAGCAGTGCTCTAGAGCTCCTAGCGGGTTCGTACAAACAAGTTAATAATGATTTTTGGAGCAGGATTGCATGGTCGTGGTCTTCAACAGTGTAAAAAATTGTGGTCTTAGGTACCAAATTCTCCTTCTTAGTGTTTATTTTTTGGACGAGGCCATTGTCAATTATATTCTTACGTGATATTGAATTTACATTTGTTCCTTTGTCAAAGTTGTCTGAGTACTGTATTCTCTTTTTTCTTTCAATATGATACTGCTCCATTGTCTCCTAGTCTACAGACTTACAAGCACCTAGTGCAGCAATGGTACAGTTTGAGACGTTCGATCTTGCTAAAGAAAGATGAGTCCATATTACATGCTCAACGAGCATGGTTTTTCAGGAACAAGCATAAGATCGATAGATGTCGGCAAAGGAAGTTGGAAGATTAACTCCTGAGACTGGATTGAAGAGAATACGTGTATTTCAATTTTGAAGTAGTGGTTGTCCGTCAATAATTATCAACCAAAACAAGACGCACCATACAATTACAATTTCCTTAGGCAGCTTGAGCTTATGCTTACGTTCCAAAAGGTCATGATTGCTGAAGCAGGTGCCTCCTCGCTAATGGCTTATGGGATTTAAGTTAAAAAGTAATATAAAATTATTTTTAAAATTTTATTTAAAAATTTAAGTTATTAAATTGAGTTGATTTTTTTTATAAGGGATTAGAGTTTTGTTGATCAAGTAAGTAATAATGAATTTAAGTTTATTATTTTTATTTTAATTAATAAAAAATAAGTACAATATAATATTAATTTTTGCAAGTTTTAAGTAAAAAGAGTTTGTTAAAGAATAATATAAAATTATTGTTGAAATTTTATCTAAAAACTAAAATTATTGAATTGAGATATTTCTTTATATTTTAAATAGGTGATAATTGAGAGTCTTGATACAGTGCAGCTACTCTTGTGAGCAAAAGTTAAGCAGTTTAAATCAAAGTTAAGAATATGCTGTTTTTCTGGTTTTCACCCCACAGCTGCAACAAATGACGAGGACAAATACGCAGATAACAGGCTAAAATATATTTTGTTACTTCTTTCAAAGAAATAGCCAGGTTTATCTTTCATTCGAAATCGCAATATGCAAAGTAAATGTATAGGATAAGACCACAAATATACAAGACGTTGAAGTTTTTTTGCCTCAAATGTATTCAAAAAGAGTAGTTGTGTTCCCAGTTGCATGCAGAGATAACTCCTTCCATTGGCAAACTATATTGTTAGCACTGTCAGAGACCTAAGAGAAATAAGGCAGTTTCAGCTTTTGCTACATAATCAAACTTGAATGTACTGTACTTCCTGTGAACTCCAGTGAGTTTCCCAGCTCCAGCATTCTGATGGAAACTAACCATCATTCTTGAGCATTCCCTATTGGCATGTAAGAGCAATAACTTCATCAGTGTGCTCGTTTAGACCCAAAGTTGAAATAATGAAGGATGTAGAATACTCACAAAAGCTGATCTTCTGTGTAGCTGGTACGCCACTCGCTGGTCTTAGACCATTGCTTAAACCAGTAGAGACTACACTGAGCAGTGTAAATTGCTGCAGCAGCAAGTAAAGATGGTGAAACTTAAGCATCTTGTACTCGACTAGGCACAGCTCAATGATGAAGAAGGAGAGAAGCTCAAGCGGTTCAATTCACAACTTCATCATATGGAAAAAATTTCAAATCTTCCCAAGAATTTTTAATTCTGTAAAAACCATTACTCACTACTCACGATAACTTACCTTCTCGTCAGATAATGCTGCCTTAAGAAATCTCTTCATGAACATATAAGGGGTAGGGCACAGACATATCAAATTGTAAAGTATTCACCATCAGTTTCTCAAATTGTAAAGTATTCACCATCAGTTTCTCGTACAAGCACCTGATATATAACATTAAAATAGTCAAACAGCCACTGATGGAAAGGGAGAATGCATCTAGTAATTACTACGAAGCAACATTTCCATATCAAGGACTTCCATCCTTGTGTAAGTTCTGTCTGATATGAGGACAAAGCCATCCACTATTGGGACTGAGACCTCCTCATACTTGCATGCTAGCAGCATTGCTGTGACACCAACAAATTTAAGTTTCTTTCTGACCAATGTGCAGCGCTCCAAGAATCGGTTAATAAGATTGATGGTTAGGAATCTGTTGAAACAGCCAGACTTGTTTCATTAAATAAAGGATTACAAGGTTTGAAAACCAAAAAATAGAGATGGAAAAGATGTTTCTGTTTGACGTAGCATCTGGGTCCATCCCAGAAATCAGACCTCTCTCTAGTCAGATGGCGAATATTATAAGTTGGGATACTGTGGTTAAACAAAGTGAACGACATTTTCCTTCAGAGGAACAACTCAAGAGCATTAGACCTCCATAAGCCAGTCAATAAGGATAGATCTCATCTTTTCGTTGATGTCAAGATGACGATCCATGTATGTAGAAGAGATAAAGCCAGAGCTCTGCATAAATGAATACTGTTCAACCATATGATCCCTGTTCAATACAAGGTTGCTGCATCTAATGATTTAGTTGTTTTTGGAGGGATTTCATGGCAGAATAGAGCTTCAAATCAAGTGGTATCATCATCGGTTTTGAATTAAATTTTCAATTTTTTCCTCAAAAATTCACATCTTTACAAAAAAATCCATGAAAAAACAAATAAAAATCACAGACGCAGACAGGCCTTAGATGCGTGGTGTTTAGTATACTAGACAATTGGATTGGATTGGATAGGGCTAGATAAATAATTATTTTATCTTGTGTTTAATGTTTATTAGACTAAACTGAAAAGTTTGTTTTATTTTATGTTTGATGGACAATGAACAATATAGAACAATTATTCTAATGACAATAATACTCCTCACTTGTCTAATGTTTAGGTATAGATTATAGCATATATTTTAACCCAAAATTTAAATAAATATTTTTTTTAGAAAATCATTATTAATATTTATTTATGTATTATTTTATTTTAAACAAAATCCATAATTTTTTGTATGTTAATTAACATGTTATTTTGAAAATTAACTAACTTGCAGGCACTTATAATTATGTCAAATGTTTGAATTTTTGAAACAAACTAACATAAAAAAATTTCAGTTCTATGATGCCTTTTTCCTTTACAAAGCAATGACATATAGCCACACAACTTAGCGCAAAGTAACTCCACTTTCATATTTGAATCGCTAAGCTTAGAGCTACAATAGCAACCTTAGACCTTGCATCCCTCTCTCTCGGTGTCTTCTCCTCTAGCTTTGACCTGAAACATCGATGCATAAGAACATGCTAGTACATAAGTAGAGAGATTAAGTCTTCTATAGGGTTTGTTTCTACATGTGATTATAACACATCACACTTTCTCTAAGCTTCTTGATGTCTTCATTAGTTAGTTGATTAGTTACTCGAAGCAAGTTGGGAGTTGGGATGCACTTTGATTTTTTGTAATGACTTCAGGTTTGATTCTAAACCTAAATTTGATTGTTTCTCCATAGTTGGTGACGGAGATAAGCGTATCTTAATTATTTCTATAAATTTTTAAATTAATAATTATATATATATTTTCATTAATATTATATTTGCAAGGCTTGAATTTGAGATCAAACAATTTTTTTAATTTTAAAAATTCTCACTACTAGATTACTAACCATATTCTCATTCTAATATATTTCTTTAACAAGTTGTGTAAGAATCTATATCAGCGAATAAGGAGTTGAGGAGTTGTTTGCTGATTTTATTAGTAGTGTTTTATTGATTTGTTAAACATGTTTTGAGATCTATGAATTGCCAAAAATAAAATTATGAAATGTAAAAATTAAGTTAAGTTAAGCTAGAATAAATAATATATAACATGTTATATTCCCACATAAATTATTATTGAATGTGTTTTTGTTGTCCCATTTAGTAATAAAATAAAAATATCATGAAGTAATTGTAACCCCCAATGTTTTATATAACAATCTTAACTTTTGAAACAATACACACAGATTCTATGATAAAAATATGAAAATTCAAACGAATTCTTTAAAAAAAAACAAATCATGAATCACTCACATCAATGAGTTCGGATTATACAATTTAAATAATAAATAATCTATTCCACAAAAGTTAAACAAAAAAAACTATTAAATAAATTTACACATACAAGACATGTTTCAGAAGCCATAAACCATAGATTTAAAGCTTGATACAAGACAAGACCTGGTTACGATTAACTTTAAAAAATAATTAAAAAAAAAAGAGAATAAAAACAATATTATTCGAATAATAAATAAATAAATTAATAATGATGCCTTGATGGGATTAATATTTCTTTTCCTATATCCACGTCAAAGAAAACAGAACAGGTAATTAAATAATTCGCCATTAACTTCATGTGCCAGTCAAATCGATCATTTAATTGGTCAATTACCTCAACCAGGAGGTTGATGAGAAAGCAGCCAATTGGTCCGAGACAGCAGGAGGCAGCCTGAGCTGGCTCCCATTAAAGTCTACGAACTCCAACTTTTCATTGACCCATGGTGCCAAACAAGCAGGACTTTGAAATTAATTGGCGTTACGGAGATGAAAAGTCAAAAGGTCACTGCATGCTTTTATCGACAACCCAAGCGAGAACCAGTCAGACCACCTCGCTGTACTCACCAAAAATAGGAAGAGAAACACAAAAAGGGGTTCAACATTGCAGCTAAAGTCAAGTTTGGTAGTGATGTTGAATCTACTTTTGTGTAAATTATTTTTTTAAAAAAAAAAAATTAGATGTTTTTAATGTGTTAATATTAAAAATAATTTTTTAAAAAATAAAATAAAAAATTTATTTTTATGAATTTTTAAATAAATAATATTTTTAAAAAATAATATTTATTACACTTTTAAACATCCCTTAAATTTACAGAAAATACAAGAAGCTAGATAATGGAAACCAATTCACGCATTGCTTAGTTAACACTAGATTATTCTTTTCTTACTCTACGTACATGGTTGAGTTAAATTTTTTTAATATAAAAAAATATTTAAATATTAATAACATGAATTAATTTGGATTAATTTAATAAATAGTGAAATATAAGGTTAAGATACCTTGTATAATAAAAAACCAAAAAAAAAACCCATAAACCTCGTGGGCTAATAAAAATAAAAATAAAAAGAAACATTGAAAAAAAAACTTGAATCAACCTTGGTTCACTTTACTAATCCATCACCCGTGATATGAGATTAAGATTAAAAAATTTAATTTAAAAAATTATATGAAAAAAAGGATCAAAGTTAAATAAATATTGAAAAAAACTCGAGTCAAACCCGAGTTAACTTGATTAACCTACGACCTAAGATAACCTCATATAAAGAAAATGCATAAAATATATAAAAGTTCAAGACCCAATAGTCTAATATCAATGGGTGAAAATGATTTAAAAAAACACTAAAAAAATTCTAAAATAATCTAGGTTAATTTGACTAACTTGTTACCTGAAATAACATGATAATATATAAAATGGATAAAAATTAAAAATTAAAAGAATGAGAATCAAATTTGGATTCAAATAAATGAAATTAAATATTGAGAGATAAAATTAAAAAATAAAAACAAATTAAAAAAAAAGCAATTAAAAAAATGCTAACCAAAATTGAATAAAAAATGAAGTGAAATAAAATGTTGAGGAAAAACATTAAAAAAAAACCTAAAAAAAGATAAGAGAAGAACAATAACAAAAATAATAACAAAAATAAAATAAAAAAAATAAATAAGATGAAATGTTGAAGGATGAAAGCATAATAACACATGAATCTTCTATAAAAGACTATTTTATTTTATAAAATGGTAAAAATATTATTATGCTATAGTGATTCATGATATGGTAAGCATAGCTCTACAGTAAAAAATTAACGTGGTTTATTTTTTTTAATAAGATATGATGATGCATACGAGAGGAAGCTACGAGAGAAAGGGATGAAAAGGTTTGTTATAAATTAAAACTCTGAAAAACAAAAAGTACTATAATTATAAAATAACAATTAAAATATTTAAGTTTTTATTCAATTAAATATCTGTATTATAACTTTTTATATCGAAAAACTAAAATCAAATAAAAAATAAATTAGAATAGCTATTCCCTAAAAAAAAACCTAGAAAATCATAATAATATAAGATAGTAAAGTAAAAATAGAAGAAAATAAAATTAAATAGATCGTAGACTAGTGTTTCCAATTATTATTTCCGGTCGAAGTAGTGTTCCTTGAAATAATTCTAAACTATATGACAAAATTGCCACCCTAAATATGTATTATATAATATTAAAATCAAACCAAATTATTTATATTAGTTTTTGCCATTTTAATTATAAACTTAGCTGGAGTCAGTCTTGAATTTCGAGTCAACTCGTTGGGTGGGGGAGAAGTTCACAGCTACACTTTTTTTTTTTTTTTTTGGGGAGGCTTGAATTTATGCCTTCTGATGAAACACGTCATCACATCATCATAAAGAGCATAACAAATATGTATATTCTCGACCAAGAATAAAGAAAATCAATAGTGTATACTAATCAAGTTTTTTCCAATTATAATTCACGTGGGATGATTGAATTATCCCAATCTTAATCAAAATTATTATATAATCTTAATTATCCACAATAGACAAAGCTCGGTGTAGTAAAAATTACTTTTTATAATTTGTTTTGCTTGAAAATATACTAAAATAATATTTTTTTTATTTTTTAAATTTATTTTTTATATTAATATATATAAAAATGATTAATAAATAAATAAATAATAATTTAAAATTAAAAAAATTTCAAAAACAGACATAAAATCAAGGCAACTTTAATGCTTTAATGTGACAAATATATATAGTCTTTTTATTGCAAGATTCGTGATAACTCCAAGTGGTGAGATGAGTGCCATGAGAAATGAGACATTATTTTTTTTTGTGTGGTTACATTATTTTTTAAAATATTTTTATATTAAAATAATTTTAAAAAATTAATTTTAAGATTAGTACATTAAAATCATCTAAAATATATATATAAATTAATTTTTAATAAAAAATGAATTTTTTGGTGTGACTTTTTTTTTCTTTTTCCTTAAATAGTTTCTTAATTAAGTAGTACACATTGAACTGGATTTATTCTTGCTATATAGTAAACAAAAATATATAATTTATATTGTCAATACGAGTTTTCCAACAAACAATACAAGAACAATTTATAAATTAGAATCTTCATCTGAAAACAAATCTCGTACATCAATATAAATATATGAAAATACCAATTGCATCATTTAATTTAAATGGATAATAATAATAATAATAATAATAATAATAATAATAATAATAATAATATGGGGGTGTTATTTGCATGAAAGTTAGGATTTATGTAAAAAGTTATTAAAAAAGTAATAATTTAGGGACCCATATATATATATATATATATATATATATATATATATATACGGCTGTGGTGTACGTATGATCTCTGTACGTAGATAGGACCAAAA